TTTTTAGTTTGTATTTTTTTTATCAAAGGTCTGACACTAAGGTCTAAACTAACGTTCGTTTTTTAACTTTTATATTTTTATCAAAGGTCTGATTTTAATTTTGTTTTGTTGTAAAATTTGTAAAGCAAATAAAATATTTTTTCCTTGGAATCGAGTTTCTAGTTCGAAAAGTTATGAATTCATTTATGTTTTTTTAAAAGTTTTTTTTTTTAACAGTGACCTAAACTAACATTCGTTTTTAACTTTTATTTTTTTTATCAAAGGTCTGACACTAAGGCCTAAACTAACATCCGTTTTTTAACATTTATTTTATTTATCAAAGGTCTGATTTTAATTTTTTTTATACAAACTATTTAAAAAAAGTAAATTTTTAAAATAAAATATATTTTAACCCTGACTAAAAAGTGCATAAAAATTAAACAAACTAAATGAAAAACTCCTTATAAAATACAAATTACACGAACTGTTACTTTCGGTCCCTTGTTTTTGTAAATAAAGAGAATGTTTATTACCAAAGCAAAGAAATTTAATTTGGCGGCTTAAATCTATTTCGTATTTTTGGCTTTTGTTTTAGCTGGGATTTTCATTGCATTATCTATTTTAGCCACGGAATTTTAGCTGATCCTACATGTACAATTACTATAAAAACAAGAGAGAACGCTATAGTCGGGTTGGTGTCCCGACTATCTAATACCCGTCACTCAGCTAAAGGGAGTGCTAACGCTGTACTCGGGTTGGTGTCCCGACTATCTAATCGTAACTCAGCTAAAGAGTGCGAGGGAGATAGATATATAAACAATTTTGATTGCTTATAACTTTTTAATGAATGGTCCGACTTGAAAAATGTCTTCTACATTTCGATAGATATACATATACACAGCAAAATTGCATTTATACTTCTCGGAAATCTTTAAAAATGTGAGCGCAGGACACATTTTAAAATCGTTAGTGGGCGATTGTGGGCGTTAGAGGGAGCTTGGCTGAAATAAACTTACGCTGCGTAGGAAGCCCAAGAATATGTGTGGGAAATCTCAACCTTCTAGCTTTTGTAGTTTCCGAGATCTCAGCGTTCATCCGGACGGACAGACAAACAGACGGACATGGCTATATCGACTCGGCTAGTGACCCTGATCAAGAAACGCTTCCTTCTCCCTGTTACACGAATACAATATACCCTTTTACTCTACGAGCAACGGGTATAAAAATGGAATAAAAAATTTAAAAATTCACACAGCTGATAAAGTTTGTTTAGGAATGGGGGAGCTTTTAACCGATGAATACCGATGATTCTTACGATGGCGTTATCTCCTCACTCATAGAAAGTTGTTGTTAAAGCGGTCGGACTATTGAGCCGGCAGAACAGTTTAGTTCTTCGGAAAGAAAGGAAGTAAAGTAAAGTGAACCCGAATCCGTAATATTACACAAAACTCTGTAGTGAATTCTCCAGAATGCAAGTGTTTTTAGCTTTAGCCCTGCTCGCAGGCCTGGCTTTCTCGGGTGAGTATAAACATTAGATTGCAAAAAAGGTTTTGCCAAACAAAGAATAATTGCTTATGCGTGTGTGTGCTTTAACTAATGCATATAAAAACAAGTAAGGTCAATATTTTAGCATTGTTAGCTCTAACCTTTTTTAAGAACTTAAACAACATGCTTTTTTAAAAGAAAGCTGCTGATTTTAATATATTTTCTCTTTTAATTTAATGTAGGAATTTGTATTCTGTAAAATTTTAATTATTTTTCTGCGATTTATTTAATATATGTAAAAATTAAACTATTCTCAATGTCGCTAACATATTTTTTTTATTTTTAAATTATTCAAATGAAATTCTATCCATGTACTTAAATTTTGACTGCAGCTGTACATAACAGATTAATTATGCATGTGTATAATACCTACATACAAATGTACATACATATAAGCAATGGCGTGAGCTTGAAGCTTGATGGCTGCCCTTTACCGTTTGTTTTTGTCAAACCCCCGCTTATTTTCTGCTCTCTCTATCTCCATACTTTCGCCGAAAAACTAGCTGATGCCACGAATCCGCCGAAATGGGATCCAAACTATATTGTCAAAGGAACCCTCTACATTCCGTACGCCGAGATCGCCGAGCCATTTTACGCCTGGTATGACAAGAATACGAAGCGATCCCGCATCGACTACTACGGCGGAATGGTGAAGACGTACCAGCTGGCCGGCGAGGGCCAGTTCGGAACCCTGCTTAAGCTGGCACCGATCACCACCAAAACGGAGGACAACAAGCTGACCTGCCTGCAGGTGAACGGTACCGCCGACCAGGTCGTCGAGATCCAGAGCATCCTGCCCGATGCGAAACCCTTCAGTCTGGTGGGCACGGAAAGCTTCTTGGGCTTCACCTGCGACAAGTTCCGGCTGGAGTCGACCATTGGCCAGAAGAAGAACGTCTATACGCTGTGGGTGCGGTACAAGAAGTCGCCGCACTATCCCTCCAGCCGGATGCCCATTCCCGTGCGCTACGAGATGAGGGGCTATAACACCCTGCTGGGATCCCACTTCGATCATTACTACCTGGACTACGACAGCTACGATCACGATGATATCCCCAACGAGGTGTTCGAGATCGATGACAGCCTGCAGTGCGTGGGATTCCCCGGACCCGGCACCGGTCACTATGCCACCTTCAATCCCATGCAGGAGTTCATAGCCGGAACCGATGAGCATGTGGACAAGGCCTTCCATCACTTTAAGCGCAAGCACGGAGTCGCCTATGCCAGCGACAAGGAGCACGAGCATCGCAAGAACATCTTCCGCCAGAACCTGCGCTACATCCACTCCAAGAACAGGGCCAAGCTCACATACACGCTGGCCGTGAATCACCTGGCCGATAAGACCGAGGAGGAGCTGAAGGCGCGCCGCGGGTACAAATCGTCGGGCGTTTACAACACCGGCAAGCCATTCCCCTACGATGTGCCCAAGTACCAGGACGATATCCCCGACCAGTACGATTGGAGACTATACGGCGCTGTCACTCCGGTGAAAGGTGGGTCAAATGTCCAAAGTCCTTTTAATTACATTCATATATTTCAAATTCTCAACTTAATTTTATATTTACAAAATGAAACGATACGAGTCACTTCAATTGCTATCTTTTATTTTTTAAAGCTTTATTTGTCACAATATATTTTTTTTAACTTTACCAGTCACATTTAACTTTCATTTCTTTGTGACCATAATAATAATTCCAAGATAAGTATTTTTTTAAACAATTATGACTATAAGATTTAATATAATTTAGTCGTTAATTTTTCACTTTTTATCTTTAAACCGTTTTCAGATCAATCTGTTTGCGGTTCCTGCTGGTCGTTCGGCACTATTGGTCACTTGGAAGGCGCGTTCTTCCTGAAGAACGGCGGCAATCTTGTCCGGCTTTCTCAGCAGGCCTTGATTGACTGCTCCTGGGCCTACGGCAACAATGGTTGCGACGGGGGCGAGGACTTCCGCGTCTACCAGTGGATGCTGCAGTCTGGCGGAGTTCCCACGGAGGAGGAGTACGGTCCCTATCTGGGACAGGATGGCTACTGTCACGTCAACAATGTGACCCTAGTGGCTCCGATCAAGGGATTCGTGAACGTAACCTCCAACGATCCCAATGCCTTCAAGCTGGCCCTGCTCAAGCACGGACCTCTGTCGGTGGCCATCGACGCCTCTCCAAAGACATTCAGCTTCTACTCGCACGGGGTTTACTATGAGCCTTCGTGCAAGAACGATGTGGATGGACTGGATCACGCCGTGTTGGCAGTAGGATATGGAACCATTAATGGAGAGGACTACTGGCTGGTGAAGAACTCGTGGTCCACCTACTGGGGCAACGATGGCTACATCCTGATGTCGGCTAAGAAGAACAATTGCGGTGTCATGACCATGCCCACTTACGTGGAGATGTAAACGAACCCGCACTCATATTTCTTATTTTGTGTAATCTTTTCTATTATCACGCCCCGAGGGCGCTAAATATGCAATACATTTCATGAACTCTTTTTTAATCCAAGTCTTTCGAGTCTTATCGCTACTTTGGTTGGTCACAGATGTAGCTAAGTATAGCTTTCTGTTATGGCATGGCATTCCTCGATGTTGCTTAAGTACAGTTTGTTGGGCGCGATAAGCTTAGAAGGCAATGAACAGTGATCCGTTGAACTTTGTGCAAGTTGCAATAGTATTATGGAATCTTTGCCATTTATAGGAGGATTCTAGTGAGCAGTAGAAACCAGAAGGGTTAAAAATATATTTTTTTTATCGATTCTAATTCTCTCCATAATGCAGTTATAACAGAAATAATTTATATCTTATAGCTCCCATAGGAAGAGTCGGAAAAAAAAACGTTAAAAAAATTCTAGCTTCGGTGTTTTTGAAATATTACCTTCTGCTCATGGGAATATTCTTTTTAATTATTTTTGAATTTTGAATTTTTATCATTAATATGAAAAAATTGTATCTTTGTTGATTTTTTTTACATTTTCTTCCTCTCTTATATATAGCTTTTCTTTGACATTTCAAAATTTCAAATTAAATTCAACAAAATTCAGACGGTTATATTATATAGCTGCCATAGAAAGGATCAGCAAATTAATGCCAAAATAATAAGAAAGCAGCTAAAATTTTATTTGATTTTACATCTACGCAAGTAAATATAAATTTAATGTTTTGTAAGTTAATAAGAATGATCTGCTTCCGAAGCTAGCTTCCTTTCTTGTTTAAAAATGTTTCCAAAAAATTTGGGTTATTTAAATAAATAATATTAATCGAAAACTCACAAAAAATCATCGTTTCTTTTATATTTTTCATGAACTCGGTGCTGATTAGGAATATATATACTTTATGTGGTCAGAATCGTCTCCTTCCCTTTGTTGCAAACTTGTGACGGAAATTATAATACCCTCTGCAAGGGTATACAAATAAACCCTTTCAATAAAGCATTTTGCAGCCCTGGAATGGCGCCATTTGGTATTTTTTTGCGGCTGCCCGACGGTCCTTCAATGCAGTTCACTCTTTTAAATTTACTTGACTTTCGAATATAGAATATAGAGCGCAAATCATGGAGGATCTGGTGAAGATGTGCCGAGTTTGCATGGGCGAGGCGGAGGAGCTCCGAGACATCTACGACAACAAGAGTTTGGGGGACGAGCTATCCGTCGAGCTGAAGAAGTCCAAGGAACCGGAACCCACGCCGGCCGATCTGATGAAGAACTGCAGCTCAGTCCCGGTTTCTTCTGGCGACTGCTTCCCCCTGAAGATTTGCGAGCCCTGCCTGAAGAAATTGCGCCAGGCTCTACTTTTTAAAAGGCGTTACGCAAAGAACACGGAATTCTGGGGACGCGTAAAGTCTGAGCGAAAAGACCAGGAGACACTGGATATCCTGGAGGCCGAGGACTGGAATCTGGCGGATCGGATCAAAGAAGAAGTCGAGGAAGAGGACGAGGGCGACCTGCAGGCGAAGAAGAAAACGCCCAGTAAGCCGGAGGAAAAACCGCGGCCTTTCAAGTGTGCCGACTGTCCGAAAAGTTTCACCGGCAAAGCCCAGCTCACCATGCATAGTCGCACCCACTCAAAAAGATCAACTAGGGGAAAACGACGGTCTCTTAAATAGTATCCTCCATCTGAGGACTTCGAATTTTTAGGTTAGGCACTTGGCAAGCCAAATATACATATATTAAATGTTTACAACCCAGACAAAGAGGTAGAACTGCTTTCGCAATCTAGATAAGCGAATCATCTTGTTAACCACATTTTAAGATACGTTTTCACTAATCTTATACTACGTTAAAAGGCACGCCTTATAATAACTTAGTTAACCATGACAAACTATGTACATTGACATTAATGGATTAAAAAAACTTAATTAGTATAAAAATACTTAAAAATTCTTAAAAAAGTGCATATATATGCTCATTGGTAAATATATATTTTTATTCAAATCAAAAATCAAAGGGGGCCGAAAGAGTTAATCTCAGTTGACCATTTATTTATACAGTTGGCATACAGAAGATAACACTGGATTTTCTTAAATTGTCTTTTAAATATTAGTCAAAGTAAAAATGGAACATTTTCTTAGATCAAATTCTAGATCATCCGTTTTGCATTAGCAACGGTTCTAATTGTCAAACAATATTAAAACTATTTACCACACTTAAATAGTTTAGCAGGTCTCAAAAATCAAGGTTTCTTAAAACTATTCGTTAGTCGCAGAGATTAAAAACAGAATTAAAGGATTCGTTACTCGTTGTATGAAAAAATGAAATTCAAATAAGGATGCCATTCCCATAAAACCGGAATAGGGGCACATAAATTAAAAATAAGATTCGTAACTTTCTTAGGCATTTTTCTTTTTGGTTCTTCGCTTTTTGGGCTGGAACTTCACACCTGTGTGAACGGTCATGTGGTTTTCTAGGCCGCACTTCTGTGAAAATCGATGCCGGCAAATGGTGCACTTGAAGGGACGTTCGCCAGTGTGCACCCGGATATGGACACGGAGTTGGCCGACTTGCCGGAAGCGTTTGGGGCAGATTGGACATCCGTAAGGACGCTCGCCGGTGTGGCAGCGCATGTGGGTTTGCAAATTGCCCTTCTGGGCGAAGGATCGCGGACAATAGGAGCACTTGAAGGGACGCTCGCCCGTGTGAACACGCATGTGGATCTCCAGGTGCATTTTGTGGGCAAAGGATAAGTCGCAATGGATGCACTGAAAGGCCTGGCGTAACTTCTTTGCTTTGCTCTTTTTCGAGCCTCCCCATTGCTCATCCTCGTCCTTGGAGCATTCACTTTCAGGACTCCAGGACTCACTTTCCGAACACGACCTCGCCCTCTTCTTTGGAATGTCTTTATCATCGGCTGGCCGCTCTACTGCAGACTCCATTTCCATGAGTTGCTCCTCCGAAGCCAGCGACTTGTACTTCTGCTCCACGAGCTCTACAAAGAGGGGTTCCAGGTCTTGAGGTTGGTAAGCTTCTGCAGGGGCTCCCGCCTGGACGCACGGCTCAGGCTTCGGTGGTCCAGCGGGCTTCTCCATTTTCAGGCGAGCCTCAATGCCCTCCAGCTCCTTGACCATCACACGGAGCTGTTCGAAGTACTGGTGGCTCTTCCGGCATTGACGTCTCAGCCGGAAGGCTTTCCTCGTGGCCCCCGCACACTCCACGCAGATGAACTGCGGCATTCCATCCGCTCTTTTCACGCTGCATCCGGTGCACTCCCGCAGCATCGTGGCCAATTGCGGCTCCTGATCCCCCGTCCCTCTGGGCGGACAGGAATCTGCGAAGAGGTCCACCAGACAGTCGGATTCGTCCCGGCAAACGCGGCACATTTCCGTGATGTCCAGCATGGTCGAAATTCGAGTTGTTATCAGGAAGGATCGAACAAAACGCCAGCTGGGGAATAAAATACCAACTAATAAAATATACCAAAAATGGATATCCAGCTGATATTTTCTATTGTTCGTTATTTTTAAATAATTTGGGATTAGATTATGGCGAAAATTTTGTAAAAAGAAAAAGGGTTGGAATATTGAATTTTATTCAAATCTATCACCTGTACTATTAATTATACTCGCAATAAAAAACGTCAAATAAATGTTTTTGTATATAAAATAAATAAGCGTTTATTAATATTATTTATATAAGATATTCTTACATATTCAATATGTTCACAGTTGGCACAAAGGCAATTAAATTGAAGCAACATTTGCTTGAAAAAATAAATAACTATATTTTAGCTACTAAATTGTTTTGCTTTCGAAGACTTTACAAAATAGATGCATTCCCATTTAATAGATTACATATATGGATTAACTAACAAAAACATTCAACATAAACATCTTGGAATGAAAAATTCGACCAAATCTACTTGGTGTTGTTGTACATGGATGCGATTGCGGGATCCTCGGTCTCGTAGATGATGAGCACATCCCTGAACTTGTCCAGCAATTGGAGCAGTTGCGACCGGCGAAGGTTCTCAAAGTACATGATCTCCTCCAGGTGATGCTCGCTCTTGAAATAGCCCATCTGGTACAGCTTCACCAGCAGGGAGAGATCGTCGACATTGGCGGAGGCGGGAATGCGCCGAATGGCGGCTCGATCCGCGTCACTAAAGACCTGCAGCAGCTCCTTTAGCTTCTGCTCGTCCTCCATTGAGTCGAGGCTGTCGCAGTTATCCGTGCTCATCGAGGCGGTGATGCTGAAGTTGGACTTGTGGCTGGACGAGGGCTGAATGGCGATGTTGTCGGAAGCCAGTGAAGAGTGGTCCTCGGAGGCGTCCCGCCGATGGCCACCGATCGAGACCGCTGGCACGGGCAGCGGCTGACTGGACATGCTCAACATGGAGCCCTCGTGCAGCTCATCCGCATCCTGCTCCTGCTCTCCCTCCTCGTCGCTAATGGCATCCCTTAGATGATTGCTGCACGATGCCGAGTCCCCAAACTCATCCTCGCTGGGCATAAACTGAACGTACGTGTGCAGCTGCATGAGCAAGTGGTGCTGCAGCATCCAAATGACCATCTGCGCGAGGATACCTTGGCGCGCCGGCTGCTGCAGGGGCGTGGTCAAATGCCCAATCGACGTGGGCAGCGAGAAGTCCGAGATCACCTCGAACAGTGACATTCCCGCAAAGCGAGCGGAGAACTTCTCGACCAGATGAGATTTTGTGTGCAATGGTGCATCGGGTGCGATCACATAAACGTTCGTCTCGCAGAGCGGATATATAATAGTGGCCTTTGCCCAGTAGACCAAATGCGAGACCAGCTTATAGACATGCTCAATGCTCAGGTCCGCATTGGAGGCCATGCTTTGGAGGCTAATCAGTGGGTTGTAGGCGTCCACGAGTTGCCACAGCATCCGAGCCCCGGTCGGTGGGACGCAGTCCAGCAACTCGGCAAAGTCCACGAGCAACAGCATGCCGTGATAGGGTTTCAAAGCGCGAAGGCAGCGGTCAATTGTCTCCGGATCCACCATACTGCCCTTCTTGTGCAGCTGGTGGGCCTTGGCCGGCAGGCAAAAGCACAGCGTAAGATTGTGATTCAGCGAGGTGCTCAGCAGGCCGGTGGTGCACAGATCGTGGAAGATGGAGCGCAGCGACTGCGCCAAGCTACAGCGTTCGGCAATCAGCTCCAGAGTCCGTTCCAGCGGCTGTTGCTGCTGTTCGTCGTGCGTGCGCGCCATGTGGGCAGTCTGCTCGGTAACATAGCCACAGCGCTGCTCCTCGAACTTGAGTGCCAGCCCCAGGCGCTTGCTCAGCTCGTGGTAGCACTTCACAATCGAGTAGCTGGCCTGGGCGTGGAGCGCAAAAACAATGTTGATGAGCATCTGCTGCTTGGCCAATGCTCCGCTCCGTTGCTCCTTGTGGGGGATCAGCGTGGGATGGCTCACGAAGCGCACGTCGTTCAGCTTGAGCTCGAATTTCTGGTTGCAGAGCTGTGGCTTCACGGCAAAAAGAGCGGAGAGCACCTCGTCGGCGAATCCCTGCAGCTGTCCTTGGCCCTTGGAAGCCCCCAAGTGAGTGGGCGTCTGCAGCAGGTCGTCCACATGGGCCACGGCATACGGATTGCGCTTCCTGTGGGCACAAAAGCCAGTTAAATCTAAGCAATAGGCAAATTAAATCCTTACTTGGACTTTCGATGCTCGTCGCTAGTCACCTCCGTTTGGCCAAGTGTCTGATAGGGGTATCTATACAGCAGTCGATCCCCCTTGCTGTCGAAGTAGACCAGGATTACGGCCAGCGGGTTCACATTCGTGTCCATGGCGGTATAGAGTCTTCTCCTATCTGTAAGTAATGAACATTTCCATTATCAGCTGGTGTCAGGGTCAAAAATAATGTTGATAGCCACCCAGATGGGATCGTCGGAACCGGATTTTCTCCACGAAATGTATTTTTTACTATCCAAAATGCACCTCAAATTGACTTCATGGTTAATATTCTGCAAAGTTTATAATTTTAAAATAATGTAAATATTTTATTTCTTCATAACAGCAGTGTGGCTTCCTCTAATTTCGCCCAAAATGCAGCGTTAAAAAAAATATGAAACATTTTATTTCATATAGCTCAAAAATTAAATATTAAAAACGGTATCGCCAAAGGTTTTATAAACAAGTTCATAAAGAATAGTTTATAAAATAGTTTATAAAATTTAAAAACTAACCACGAACGGTATTACTTTTTCAATCGATATAAAACATAACGTTGCGCAACCCTGGTAGGGCGATGACGATTTATCGCCCGCTGTAGTGTGACCGTCTTCGGTTGGTCAGTCGCTAATTTTTTAGAAGCGGAAAGTTGTGAACAAAACGCGTGGATATTGTGCTCAAAACGTCAACAAAAAATTTGTGAAAATAGCTGGGAGCGTAGTATGCGAGCGCGGCAATCGCAGAACTATGAAATTCCCCCGTGAAACGTGTTAGTTTGGCTGCGAAAGCACTTTTAATTTGGCGATTTCTTATTAGCGTGTTGGAAAAGAGGAAAACACACACAATGTGAGAGGCAAAATACGTGCAGGGCGTAGGTGGGAGCGAGATGACGCTAAACGTGTACTAGCCGCGGTCTATATATACATATATATAGTATTTGTGTGAGTGTAGGAGAGGTATAAAGAATTGTTCAAAAAGTATAGTTTACTTGGCTGTGCGCTCCGATTCTGAATTAATTGTATAGTCTTTGGTCGAAAGGCGGCCAATAAGTTGCATTCGACTTATTGTCATAACTCAAGCCTTGTTTTTTGTCCGACGTTTGTGTATCTATTATTTGTTCCATTTTTTTTTGCTAGACTCTCAACTTTGTTGGCTCTCTGGAATGTGAATAGCTAGCTTGTTGCCGAATAGTTAATAACATTTAACTATTTTGCGTTTTGTGTATATGTGCGCCAACATCCGTGTGTATAGATTTTACACATACCTACGTAGAAAGGCATGCACAGATATACGTTTGTGTGGGTATCAACGAATAGGCGGAAAGGCGAAATCGAAATATGTACGTACAGCATTTCGGAATGGCCAGGCGCAGTAGTAATAGGCTAAAGCGGGGAAACGGAGCAACACAAAAACCAAGAAGAAGAAGAAGCAGGGCAGGCGAACAAAATAAAATAGCCGATAATAGGCTCGGACGTAAGTCAGAACGGTCACACTAGCTGTGCGCCTAGCCGACCAGACTAGTCGTCTCGCTCCCACACACGCCTTTTGCGCCACCCGTGTATGTGTTTTTCTTGCGTGTTTTGTCTTCTGTTTCTTGTGCCATACGGTATTAATAATAATAAAATTGATTAATCAAAGTAGAAACATTTTGATTTGTGCAGGTAGTAAACGTTCGAAGCAGAGTCGCGCCATCATCTGAATGCTGCGAGTCAACAATGTGCAACAGACCAAAAAGAAAGCAGTGTCCAAGTTTATAAAAAGTGTATTGTAAAAATTGAAATACAAAGCTTCAAGAAGCCAAATCCACGTAGCTTGCCGTCAAATCAAACTAAGTTGTGCAAAATGAAGTGAAAACGTAAAATTTATAGAGTAAACGGTGAGTAAAACTAGTGTGTTTGTGTGTGTGAGTGCGCGCCCAAATAGTAAAGTACATTCAATCGATACAAAGAGATCCGCATAAGTTATGCAAATAAAACGGTTCCCAACTAATTGTAATTCTGATTCAATGTTGATTTGAGCAAGTTAAATATTCCATTTGTTGATGCCTTGATTTCTTGCTTTCTTTTTTTTGCATACTCTGTACTGTGTGTCGCCATATTTGATTGCATATTCTGTTCCCCACTGGTCGCTTATATAGCGTGCTCGCTCGCACACGTTCGCGGGTTCATTTGTTTTGCTTTCGATTCTGTTTTGTGCAACGTGAAGTTAGATGTGCGTAATGCCCCAAGCACAGAGTTGCCAGCCCGACGCAATTGTTATATTCAATTTTAATTTTTAGTTTGTTTTGCTCGAGTGGCCAAATTAATGGATTATCTAGATCAGTTTCCGCGTCGACACACCCTCGCCGCATTTTGATTGCAATGTGTATGCCGCGGAGTAGGTTTTGTTGTCTCCTCCAATGTTTTGACATGCGCACCAGCCAGACATTAAAACTATCAACAAAATGCACCGAAAAGGGTACTGTGATACTCGCAATTTTGTTTTACAATGTCGACGACGCCATATTGAATCAATTTCTACAATGTTGGCGCCGAGCGAATTTAGATTTTATTCCCATTTCTTTCCTCTTGTTTTCGTCAAACTTTTTATTGCGTGTTTTCCGTTTACACGTTTGTACGCCGTGAAGTTGGCCGCAGTTAACAGTGCGCAAGTGTGTGTGTGTGAGCGGCCTATCTGTTTGTCCCGCTCTCGCGCCCAGGTATTACTCGAACGTTCCTGTTCTGCTCCTCGCGCATACGTGATTTTTGCAATTGTTATTTATGCCTTGCTCTCTGTACGCGCGAATTTTCGCCACAAAATGAAAGCAAAAGTTGATAGACAACTTTTTGCACTGCGCTTGATTTTCGTTATTTTCTGCGCAGCGCAGACGAGACCAACGAAACAAATGTAAATTCGCGAAAGCAAGCTATTCGATAAATCCAAGGGTTGTCGAGGCGCTCCCCTCACTCCCCTTCCGATTTTTTAAAAGGTGCAATTCAATGATATCCAAATCTTTAAAATCATATCTAGACTCTGAGCTGGGAAATAGATCGAATTAGACACACCTTATAGCCGTGCAGAAATAGAGAGAAATAACCTAAAATAAGACGCAATTAGTTGACACTAGAAACTAGAAAATAGCCCGTATGCAAAAGCTAAAAGCCCATTATACGGTCGGCGTTTGTGTCAATGAAAGTACAGCCAAAGCAATGCCAATATTATTGTGCAGTCACGTAGTCCATTGGTCAACAAACTAATATGAGCAGCATTACTATTTTTAATTGCAGGTTCATTTTTATTCAGCAGATCACAATAGGAGTCTTTCTCTTTTTGACACACTCAGTTGTGTGTGTGTGTGGATAAGCTTTGTATTTGTTCTACTTCATCTAGCGATGCAACAAAAGTCATAGCAACGCAACAAAAGCCCAACAATAACCACACGAAAACGCAGTGGCGGGGACTTTTTAAGGGGACTTTAACTTTGGGAGGTATCATTATTAATTATTTTTATATTTGAAAATTCAAATTGTTTTTGTGATTTTTGGTTGATATAACGGAACATTTGGGAGCAAACAAACCCCATATATCCCTATCCCCCTGGATCCGCCCATGTATGAAAGCACCGCGACCTCCTCTCATGTGTGTGTACGATAAGTTTCCAACGTGCATTGGCAGGCACGATTTACGGAGATCTGCTGCTGTCTTGCTCACACCCACGACCCGATAATGGGCTCCAATGGGGCTTATTTTGTGAGCTTGTGTGTAATTTGTTTATGGCGCGCATTTTACTTGCCGATGATGTTGTTGCTGGGGTTGGGGTAGGGTTGGCTCTCGCACACGTGTGTGTGTATATTTCACCTTCTTTGCGAGGATGAGAGAATCAAATTCTTCTCCCTCCCACTTTCTCGCATGGATATTTTTAACTAGCAGCGTTGTAAGATTCGATGTAAATGTTAAGATATGGCTCATGCTAGTGTGTGTGAGTAACCCAAATCAAAATTTACTGCAGCCCCCAATTGTTCCGTTATCTTGCTTTCATTGAGAAATACAAAGGGAAACATTAAACGGAAATGAGTAATGGTTACCATCACTATCGATAAAGTTCTAAGCACAGTTTCCTGGGTTATACAACCCAGCTTGAAGCTGTAAAATCCCTTTATAGATTCCCTTGGCGGGCTTTACATAATCGCACATTGTATCTGCAGGAAATAGGCAAAAGGTTACATAAGCTTTCGCCGTGCTTTCCCAGATTCACTATTTAATTGGGGAATCAATTGCGCTGCTCCCTATTCTCTGTTTCAATTAGAAATTGTATCTACAATAGGCGCAAATTGGCAACCAGCACAATCGCTCTCGCACACACACACGCAGGTGTATATCCAAGTGCAAGTTGCCTGTGTAATGTGTAATAGATACAAGAAACTGAAAAGCCAGCGACAAAAGCAACGACAAAAAACCACAACAACAACTACAACTAGCGATGAATGCCGCGCCGGATGCCAAGGCGAAATTAGTGCATTCACTTTTCGCTCCGCTTTGATTTTTTGCTTTGGCTCTCTGCCTTGCAATGCGAAAGACGAGGCGAACGCGCGGAATGCGCAATGAATTAGAGAATTAGGGAAACTGTTAGCAAAACATGGCAAAATATTGACATCTTGCAGGAAGGCAGTGGTTAATGATATTTTATGTACATGCAACTGTATGTGTGTACATTTGCTTTGGGGTCGATATTATTGGCACTGGGGTCGTATTAGCTTAAAGGTTAATCAAACCAATCTCAGATTGACTTTCTTTTTAAGAGATTGTTTGATGTCGTATTCGAACTTAAAATAAATTTGTTAGGATTGTGCCTTTTCAAAAACGTAAGACAACCATTTTTTGAAATCATATGTAATCCAAGTATTTCGAACCTAAACTTAAATCCTGTGTATCTCAATCATATCATATCATTTCAAAGGCTCATACGAGAGACGAACAATCAATCAATTGTTAACCAAATAATTTGGGACGCTTTTTACGCTGGAAAATTAGCGATTAAGCGATGCGCATAAACAAAGCAAAATAGAAAAAAAACTGGTTTCCACAAAAGCCAAATGCACAAGTGCTAAACGTTGTTGGTGATTTTATTGGCCAGGGGGGTCACAATACTACAAATGCAGAAACACACACACACAGGTGTAAACAATGCACAATCCCTTGCTTTGCTTTGGCGCACCTTTCGCACTGTTTTCGCTTTGCCGTTTCGCTGATTTTCTACTTTTCCGCTCCCTGATGCTGCGTTCAAGTTTACAGCAAGTGCAGCAGCCACCACGAAGCACATTCCGAAAGCATAGACGAAAATACATACGCAGAATAAACGCGGATATTGACGTTTGAAGTGCGCATGCGCATTTTTGGCGCCCGTTGGCAGCGCTGTGCTTTTTATTTTATTACATAACGCAAATTGATGTTGGCAATGCCATTCCTTTGTGATAGAGATGGGCACCTCCCCTAATTTTTATCGATAATGGCTTTCGTGATTTCAAAAACTTTTCTGAACAATTTACATTTTTGGAAAATTTAAAATATTCAAGATTTTAGAATATTGATCAATTCTATTGCAAAACATTTCTTGTAAGAAGTCGTTAAAACTTGATACAATTTGGGAACTGCAAACTATTTTCTAAATGAAATATATTGATCTAAGGTTTTCGGCTCATATTTAATTGTACTTGTATTTTTGACTCATTGCAGAAACAACGAAAGATCGTTTATTTGAAACCCGTATCTACAAAATACAATTTTCCACATACAACGAGAGACAACGCAGAATCTATTGGGCGGGATTATACTCACGAAACAGGATCAGGCTCCGGATAAGGATCCAAAACCAGGGTGACAAGCAGAGGAAGCCGGAGCGAAGGAGCCAGGAGGCACGCGGAGGAAGTCTTCGAATTTCTCGCAGCGTTATGATTGTGATGGCTGACAATGTGATGTGGCACAGAGTTGGACACCGTCTATGCAAATCAAGCGCGCACCACCGCCTACGCCTACAGTTGTTACCACTGGGAGTCCCAGCCTCCGTCCTCCGTGCCAGAGCCAGAGGTTATGCATTGAGCCCCCAATGTTTTGGGGGCACGTCACCGAAGGCCCAGCGACAGCAGGAGCAGAAACTGCATCAGCAGAACCGGCAGCAGCATGACGGCTTTGCCTGTGAAGTAGTGTTGTGAAATAGAAACTCAAACCGAGACCGATACCGAAACCGAACTCTAACAAGCGAGTGAACTCTCAAGCCGACACAAGGCTCCCTCCCTCTAAATACACGTCTAATTTTAGTTCGCAGTCCGATCTGCCGCAGCACCAGCACCATGCCCATGTCCAGCCACGACACGGTCTTCGTGGAGCCTGCCGTTAGCAGCAGCGGCGGCGGCAGCACCAGCAGCATTAATCGCGTGGGAGTAGCCGGTGGCCCCCAGCCGCCTCCCCCGCACATCGTCATCGATGGCAGCAACCTGTCCACGCAGGCCCAGCTGCAACGCATCATGCAGCGTCGGATGTCGATCAGTACGCGCCAGATCCTTAGCGCCAGCCAGTCCCAGTCGATGAATCCGACGCAGAAGTACGCAGTGCGTACAGCAGCCGGAGCCGGAGCCTTGGCCGCAACGTCAGCTCCGTCTGGAAGCGCCGGCCAGGAGTTGATCAATCCCCAAATCTACAAGATTGTGACCACTGACGGCAGCACCAGTAATGTAATCATCGACGCCTCGGCTGCTGCGCCTCCCCACAACTCTAAACTGTTGCTCAGCAATCTCACGGTGCTCTCGAAGCAGGCGCCAGTCCAGGGAGGAGGCACTCAGCAGCAGCAGCAGCAGCAGCTCAACTATCTGGGGGCCAAGAGTTTGCCGTATGTGACGGCCTCGCCGGCTAAGACGCAGCAGCAGCCCCAGAAGTTCGGAAGCATCAGCGCATTCAAGGCGCAACAGCAGCAGCAACATCATCCGCATGCCACGCTGCAGAAAGTGACTTTGGGCTCCCGTGTGGCTACCCGCCTGCAGTCCTATGTCCCGGCCACTCCGTCGCAAATAATGGTGCAGCCGGCGCAGCCAAAATATGTAAATGCCACGGCAACAGCGTTAGGCGGGAATGCTGCTCTTCTAAAGAAGGCCAATCAAAAGATCACGGTCAAGAGCGTGAGCAATTTGACGCAGCAGCAGCAGCAACAACACCAGCAGCAGCAGCAGCAGCAGCTACAGGCCCAGCAGCTGAAGACCTTCATCGCGCAGCAGCAACAGCAGCAAACCTACAAGGCGGCGGGGGCCAAGGCAAAGTTTGTGAAACAGACTTCCCTGTCTATTGCCGCCTTGCCCCAACAGCAGCAGCAGCAACAAGCGCCTGCCTACGCAAAGCAGGCAATGGTCACCACTCCGACTAACGCGAAGGTCACAAAACTGAATAGCAAGTATGTGCAACAGCAGATCAGCCTGCCGCAAGGAACGCAGTTGCAGCACAAGACGTCGCAGAATGTCGCAGGAGGAGGATATCTGCTGCAGCAGACTCAGGCCACGGGTGGGGGAACCATTAAGTTTGTCAACTCCCATGGCACGGTCATCCAGCAGCATCCGCAACAGCAGCAGCAGCAGGCGACAAAGCGCACCCATTACAATAGCAGCGGGAGCAGCGACAATGAGCAGCATGCGGTGGCCAACTCATCGCTGATCACCGACGACGTGATGATCGTCAACGGCACCCAGATGACCGATGAGCTGTCTGCCCGCATCCTGCAGAGCATGGCCCAGAAGTCATTTAGCCAGCAGCAGCAGCGATTCCAGCAGGTTCCCGCTACTGGCAGTAGCAACATGCCGCCACCCACTCAGATCATTTACAGCAACAGCGGCAGCAGCAGCAATGGGGCAGCCGCCAGCAGTCCGGGGGGAAATCCGCCTGGAAATCTGCTGCTTGCCCACTACCAGGCAGCCGGCCAAAAGCCGGTCTCCTCGGCCTCGTTCCTCACGGTCACGGGAACGCCGCCGGTTACGGTGGCCACCACACCCTCGGTGAGCATCTCCTCGCATGGCTTTGCCAGTGGAAGTGCAGCCATTTCATCCTACATGTCGTCAGCGACGGCGGCTCGACGTCAATCGGTGAGTGCGCCCAGCAGCAGGGCGGTATCCCTGGAACGGAAGCAGCATCAGCAGCACCAGCCGCTTCAGCACGAGGTGATCGGTGGCGGACGTAAGGCTCCAACGGTCATCGAGTATTACAATAAGCACGGGTAAGTGTGAAAGTAAGGGGAAAATGTAGTTAAAACGTTGAAAACCAGAGTTGTCACCTTTTTTCTTAAAAGTCCTGGCAACTCTGTAACATTTTATTTATTATTTATTTCAAAATCAACTTAGAAAGCATATTTGTGGTTCTTTTTACCTTGGTAACAATTTTAGACAGTAACTAGCAATAATAAATCAAATCTTACATGTTTTAAGTTTCGTGAAACTTTTCAACAAATAACCATAACAACTGTTTGAACAATTTTGGGTCGTTCCCTTAATTGCTGTAATTTTCTGTGGAATTTTCAACAATTCAACAGTTTAGGGAATACCCTGACTGTATTAGTATTTACCTGCCTTAATTGACATTCGAAATATTTTTAACGATGCCCCCGCTTTTAAATGTAACCGTTTAGAATCGATTTGTCCGTCAACTGTCTCGATGTTGTATCGAGATGTGATGATCGATTGTACATTTTCTTCGAAGCATCGATAGTTAACTTTTACTACTGTCAAAATTCATATTTACAACTATCGGCCAGTTGGTCAATTCTACTGCAGTAGGAGATTTAGCCTCGTCAATGGCGAAGCACAAATTGTGTTGTGATACTTTTAAGAAATCTCGAACGGCAGTTCCTAACCACAGCTATTCCTTGATTGCAGCGTGAACAGCATAATCGGCAGCAGCAATAGCCTGACCCAAAGCACCAGCATGAGTAATCTCGGAGCCCTGCGGAGCAACAGTGGTAGTGGATTCGCCACGACCACTCCAACGCCAGCAGCACCAATTCACCTGACGCCGCTGAACGTACCAGTCCACGTGGAGGCTGCACCGCAGTCCTCACCAGCTCTGGGCAAGGGTGCGTCTCAGGCGCCGGCGCAGCCACCGCAGCAGCCGCATCTCTTGGGGCACAACCAGCTGAGTGCCAACGATGAGGAACTGTACATCGAGGAGGTGCGTCCGGTTCCGGTGCTGACGCAGGATCTGCGGCTGCAGCAACTGCACGCCATCATGCAGGATCACACGTACGCCTCCCAGCAACAGCAGCAGGCGGCCCAGCAGGCAGCGGGCGATAGTACGATTCCAGGAGCTGCCCAGCAAGTCCAGCAGCCGCAGCAGTGGTCACTGGGCGGCATCGGGGTCACGGTGGCCGGAGGCCAAGCCACGTCCACAGCGGCAGGCGGATATTGCAGCTACTTTGGACAGCAAAGTGAGTAGTTGTGAAAGTCTTATCCAAAGTTTAATTTTTATCTAAAACATATTTTTTTATATCACTAATACAATTCAATTCTTGTTTACTCAGTTGCTCGCCATCAAGCCGACGATGATGCTCACTCTGCCATAAGCAGCAGCTCCCGTTTGGGTCTAGCCAGTGCAGACATTGATCCTGGCGAGGAGACGGAAACGGCACCCGAAGCGGAGGCCGAGGACGACTCTGTTACGCGCTGCATCTGCGAACTTACCCACGATGATGGATACATGATCTGCTGTGACAAGTGCTCGTAAGTATATCCCTTTGCCTAAAGGCATTGAAGATGGTTAAATACTAGAGATTCCGCATGAGTACACTTGAACTGACAAACAAGTCAATTTTTATTTTTAAGTTAACTTGGATCACCGGTTCACTTTATTTTTTCATAAGGAACAAGAAAGGAAGCTACCTTCGGCCAGCCGAAGCTTATATACCCTTGTAGATAAAAGAATACTCACTCGGTGCAGTTCCAGGGATTCCAGATTCAGCGTTTCGATTTATTTCAATTTTGTTTTTAAGTAGTCAAGAATCAAAACGCCTACTTCCTACAAAGTTACAATGAATTTTCTTATATTCGATTGGGAGCCTTAAGATATAGTGGTCCGATCCGGCTGGCTCCGACATATGTACTACCTGCAATAGAAAGAAGACCTTCGGGAAAGTTTCATCGCGATAGCTTTAAAACTGAGAGACTAGTTCGCATAGAAACGGACAGACGGACAGACGGACAGACGGACATGGCTAGATAGACTCGGCTATTGGTGCTGATCAAGAATATATATACTTTATGTGGTCGGAAACGTCTCCTTCACTGCGTTGCAAACATCTGACTGAAATTATAATACCCTCTACAAGGGTATAAAAACAAGGGATATAATATAAAATAAATAGATATAAAATAATTTAGAATCACCGAAATAATTTGCTTAGTAATTCTATCATTCCCACTCACTTTTAATATATGTTTTTGTCACTTGTTTTTCCTTACGGAGTGATCAAGTGAAACAAGTGATCCAAGTTAACACACGTGAACTCATTCACTCTATTTTCAAAAATTGACTTGTTTGTTAATACAAGTGTACTCATCCAGGACTCTATTGAATACCACACACATAAATCGAATAAATATTCCACCAAAATATCCTTTTAATATGCTTACAATAATAACCACATATTTTACTTTGTAATAGGGCCTGGCAACACGTAGATTGCATGGGCATTGACCGACAAAACATCCCGGAGGAGTACATGTGCGAGCTCTGCCAACCGCGTGCGGTGGACAAGGCCAGAGCACGAGCCTTGCAGCGTCAGAAACGCAAGGAGCACATGCTGCTGGTGGCCACGCAAGCGGCCAATGGAGCAGCGGCCGTGGCAGCGGGAACGACTCTCAGCGGAGGACTCGGTGGTGGATTGGCCATGTCTGAGGAATTGCAACAACGGCTGGCATCTGGCCTAAATGGCGGATTTGCAACGGGCACCGGCATGTCCAAGAAGTCGAAGAAAACCAAAGAGAATGCGGGCAGTTCCGGCGCCTTGAAGAAAACGAAGAAGAGCGGTGTTGGCATGGGTGGCGAGAAGAGCGGCAGCGGAAGCGGTACTCCCTCGGCCAGTGGTGGCAAATCCAGCAAGAAGAGCAGCAAACGCAAGAGCAAATCCAGTGGAGATGGAAGTTGCGGAGGTGGCAGCAGTCCGGCTTTAACAGCCGCCGAAAAGCACGCCGCCAACCTTCGGCAGTGGATTGAGAACTACGAGTATGCCGTGACCAACCATTATTCGCCAGAGCTTCGAGCCCGCCTCCACGCTATCCAGAAGCAACCCAGCCTGTTGCAGAGCATACAGAACACTGAGAACAAGGCCTTGAGGCAGATTCAGCAGCAACTGTCGACTGCCGGCAGCAGTGAGCTCGAGCAGCGGGCACAGCTCATCCCGTATGCGGGTGCAAAGGTGCTGATTAGCAGCGTCGAATTGGCTCCCCATGCCCCCATCCACGAGCTGCGCGGCAAGTACATGCTGACCACCCAGTTCCGCACCCAGAATCCCACCGTCAACATGAACACACCCCCGCCCAGCAACTACCTGAACAGCTTCAAGGCGCACAAGACGCCGGGTCAGTTTGTGTTCTTTTACCAGCTACCCGGAGTGGAGGCACCCATGCAGACACTGCGGCCGGATGGAAGTGTGCCGCAAGTGACGCAGCAACCACCCTCGTATCTCAAGGGTCCGGAGGTGTGTGTGGATACGCGGACGTATGGCAACGATGCACGATTCGTGCGCCGCTCCTGCCGGCCGAATGCCGAGCTGCAGCACTACTTCGAGAAGGGAACGCTGCACCTGTACATAGTGGCACTGACGCACATTCGCGCCCAGACAGAGATCACGGTGCGCCACGAACCTCACGACCTGGCGGCTGTGGAGCAGAAGAAGTCGCACGCCGCCGTCATCCAGCCGACAAGTACCCGTTGCGCCTGCGACATGGGCAGTGACTGTCTCTTTGCCCTGCCGCTGGCCGTGCAGCAACAGCTCCAGGCTCCACCGGCCCAGCCGAGGAGCAGTCATCGCAACAAGGCGGCAGCAGCAGCGGCTGCGGCAGCTGCGGCCAACAGTGCGGCAGCCATACAGCTAACGATGGGATTGGGCGTCGTGGGAGCGTCGGTGGTGGCAGGAGCAGGTGTTTTGCCCAATTCAAGGAATCGCTCAACTTCATCCAGCGGCGAGAGCAGCCAAATGGGTCTTAATAGTCCGCAGCTTGGACAGTTGAATCTGGGCTTTAAGCCCTCGCCGACGCCAGCATCGCTGACGGCCCCAGTTTCCGGCGTGCATTGCAACAACAGCGGCGGGAGCAGCAGCAGCAGCAACAACTCCTGTTCCGTCTCCATGTCCAGTGTGCTGCACGACTCTGGCATCTGCACTTCGTCATCGTCGCCGTCGGTGTCTATTCCCTCGCCTACGCCCACTCAACTGCAGTCGCCCACTTTGCAGCAGCACTCGCACCAGCTGCCACAGCAACAATTGTCGCTACTGCAGCGCAGTCCGACGCAACAGCATCAGCAACAGATCCTGGCTGCCTTGCCCACGCCTATGCTCACGCCGATGCTCTCACCTCAGTTGCCAAAACCAGCACAGCAGCCGCATGTTGTGTTGCCAATTCAGCAGCAGCAAACTTCCTTGTTGCAGCAGCAGCCGCAGCAGCAGCAGCAACAACCACAGGAGCCGTTGGCTGTCATTGCAGCCGCAGCAGCTGCACAGCAGCCCATGGCAACCTATTTTGTACGGCAACCGCAGCAACAGCAATCACCAAAGCCGCAGGCCGTGGTGGCACAGCAGCAACAGCAGCAAACCTTCCTGCAACAGCAGCAGAAACAACAGCAGCAACAAAAAATGGCGGATGAGGCTAGAATGGCAGTGAGTGCATTGCAAACTCTGCATGCCACCCCCACTTCGCATATAGTGACGCCAGTTAAAGTAGCGACAGTGCAGCAACCACAGCCGGCGCAGCAGCAACAATCGCATAACCAACAAACAGTACAACCAGCAAGTCAGCTACAACAGCAATCTCAGCAGCTAAGCTACCCACAGTCACCCCAACGTCAGCAGAAGCCTCAGCCTTTGCAGCACCAGCAGCAGATAATCTTTTCAGCCGCAGCCCAGGCCATTCCGGCGACGACGGCCGCCAAATTGAATTCACCCACGAAGATTGTGGCGCCTGTGACGACCAACAATAACATAAGTTTGGGTGCCCAATCATCGGTGGCTGTCGCAAAGAAAACGCCTGCCAAGAATCAGCATCAACAACAACAGCAGCAGCAGCAGCACTCATCGACACCCCATTCGGCCGCTTCACTTCCGGCAGCTTCTCCTTCGTCCGCCGAATCCAAAGAGGATGATGTGTCGTCCAGTACCACTTCAACGCCCACCACACGAACCCCGGCCAAGGATAAGCCGAAGCAGTCACGCGAGGATCGCAAGCTGGAGGCCATCCTGCGAGCGATTGAGAAAATGGAGAAGCAGGAGGCACGCGGCAAGAAGGAAACCCGTCAGAGTAGCGGTGGCAAGCGGCAGGCGAGTAACTCGCCAGCTTCGCCCAACAAGCGTGGCAGCTCCAACTCCATTAGCGAGGATGTGGACACGCCAACTAGTACCAATTCCGCGGCAGCTGCTGCCCAGCGTAGGAATAAAAAGAAGCGTAAAGTGAGTCGCAGCTACAACAACAATACCAATGGCCTTGGCTCAGGAGGTAGCAACAACAAGCGGAGGAAGAGCATCCTGGTGGAATCGGATGGCGAGTCGCATGCATTGACCAATTCGGAATCGGAGGATCAAGTGCAGCATCCGCATAGGCATCACAGTGGATCAGAGGATCAGGCCGCAGGCCTTCTTTTAGCCTTGGCGCACAACAACTCCTCACCCAATGAGTCATTCAAGTCGCCCTCATCCCAATCGCACTCCCTGCCAGCAACTCCAGCCTCTGTGAGCAGTGCCTGTTTGCTGATCGAGGCTGCCATGGGACCCCTGGAACAGCCGGCACCGGCGACAGCGTCCCCTTCCCTCGGCGAATTCAAGTACCCGCCCGGCGGGGCCAAGACCAAAAAGTCGCTCATGTCCAGCTGGTTTCAGCAGGCGGAGCAACAGCACGCCTCCGGTTTGGACAGCCTTGTGCAGGCGGCTATGAGCGAAATCAACGGCGAACGGGAACAACTCCACCATCAAGCCCAAGGGGAATCCTCGCCAGCACCGGCATTACTCAAGGTCGAGCAGTTTATCCATCAGGCGGAGTCGACGACTTCAGTCGCTGCTCGCGAGCAACTGCATCTCCCGTTGCAAAACAATTCTTCGGTGAAGAAGCGCTGGTTGCGACAGGCTATCAGTGAAGAGACCACGCCGGTTGAAGAACAGCAGCAGCAACCTGCCACACCCTCACCACAGCCGGTGGTACCAACAGTCTCGCCACTGGCGAACGGATTTGGCACGCCGCTTAAAAAGCGGCGCCTGGTCGTCGTTAGCAATGGATCGAATGTGGAAGCCGATGAGCCGCATATCGATGTGATCGGAGAGAGCAAGGATGAGGCCGAAGAAAGTGTCCCGATGCCTGCACTGAAGGTAGAAACGGAAAACCACCAACAAGAGCAGGAGGACGACGTAGACATCCTGCGATCGCCCAGTCCGGGAACCCATCAAATAGTGGCCGAGGATAACTTGGTTAAGATCGAGCCAGAGGACACAAGTGCAGCCGCCGATGACGTTAAGATTGATGTGGAGCGCGAGGAGAGCCAGGCGTGCGATAAGTTTGAGGAAATGGTCAAGGTGAAGCGAGAGGAGGAGGAGCAGCGAGAGCAGCAAAGCCAACAGCTGCTGGAGCAGATTCAACCTAAGGTTGAACCCTCGCCAGTGGAACCAAAAGTGGAAGTGACCAAAGTTAAAGCAACTCAGGAGGTAGTGCCTTCTAAGAAGGAGTTGGCGAAGGTGGAACCCAAACCGGGAGAATCTCTGCTGCGCACGACAGCGACTGCAACTGCAACAGCAGCGGCCGCAGCAACTCTGCTCGATGTGAGCAAAGTGGCAGTCAAGAATCGGCCACAACCTCTTAAATTGGAGGATGAGCCTCAAAAGAAGAAGCCCAAGCTGGAGGCGGTACCCCAGGCGATACCAGAGCCGCCACTTTCCGGAATTCCGATACCAGCGATTGCATCAAATACAGCGACCGCATCAAACACGGCAACCACGTCAACTGCTCCACCCAGTACCAAAAATCTTACCGAACACGATATACAGGAACGTTTGCTGTCCTTCCATGCGGCCAACATTTCCTACCTGCAGTCCAGAAACAAGAAGGCCACAGCAGTCTCTGCATCCGCCTCCTCCTCGAGTCAGAAGAGCAACAGCAGCAGCGGCGGCAGTGGCGCAGAGTCTAAGAAACCGGCCAAGGATAAGGACGAGCGACGCGATAAGGAGAAGCAGCTGAAAAAGTCGAAGAAGGACAAGAAAAAGTCAAAGGAAAAGGATAAGCAAAAGGCGACAGCCAGTCCCACTGTGCAAATAGTTGAGGCGAAAAAGAAGACTTCGCAGCCAACAAAGCCAGAGGGTAAATCATCGGCAGTGCCATCGGTTCTAGTGCCACCCACTCCACCACCAGCTACTACAGCCAATGGGAAGACCAAGCACATGTCACAAAACAATGCCAATGATCAGCAGCAGCAGCAGCAAATGAGGCGTCGCACCATGTCCATGTGCATTACACCGATCACGCCCACTCCAGTGGCCGCCATGCCCTCACCAATGCTGGGTACGCCGCCCACAACCAAGAAGAGGCAGACCAATTTCGAGCAGGAGCTCACCAAGCCCAACAGTCAGATCTTGAGCAGCAGCATCCTTCTAAACAGCAGCAAGGGACTCGGCCTGCCGATTGCCACGCCCACAGTGGTTGGCGTGCCCACGGTTGTGCCACAGCAGCAGCATCGCAAGGAGAACAACCACCAGGAGGCGACTGCCGCCAGTGGAGGACCCATGAGTTTGGCTGCTGCCATCGCTAGCGGAAAACTGACTGCCATCAGTCGGCGGAGGGAGTCCATGTGCGGCAGCCGGCAGCAGGCACTAATTGCGGCCGCCTTGAAGAAGGAAAAGAAGGAGAAAAAGAAGAGTAAGAAAAAGGATCGGGAGAAGCAAAAGCACGAGAAGCAAAAGGGCAAGGACAAGGAACGCGAAAAGGACAAGGAGAAGGACAGCAAGCTCAAGACAAACCACATACAGAAAACGGCACCACCGGCGCCTACCACTCATAATCCTAATCCAATTCCAATTCCGAGCGCCACTTCAGTTCCAGTTCCTGTTCCCACGCCCCTGGCAACTCCGAAGGCGGCACCCATTCCAGTATTGATAACCCAACCCCCTCCGGCTGCGATCCATTCAGCTCAGCCTGTGCCCAACAATTGCTCCAGCAAGGTTGCACCGCTGCCATTCTACAACACAATCTACGGCAAGTTGCAGGATCCTCCAACGCCAACTAGCAGCCCCAGTCCCACCATTAACACCATGCCAAGTCTGGCTGAATATCTCGAGTCTACGAAAACTAAGACGGCGGCATCACCGGTGGCCAAACCAGCCGCTGTTGCAGCAGTTACGCCAGTTGCAGTTGCAGCAACAGTTGCAACTTCATCTCTTGAAATGCCACCTCCGGCGACCACGCCATTGAAGTTGTATACGCGGACTGCAAGCCACGATCCGCGACTTAATCCCATGCTTACGGTTCCCGATCCCACGCCCATGCCAAAACGTAAGCTCTCCATCAGCGAGTACCGGATGCGCCATCGCCCTTCGGTGGATACGGCCCCGACCACGCCCACTACGCCAACCACTCCCACCACGCCGACGAGCACCAATAAGGAACGCTGCTTCGCCAAGCCGCAGACCATTAACAAGTGCTCACTGCAGTCGCCGGAACGCTTTCAGGCCGCAATTCGGGAGCGGCGCAACTCGATCAGTGCTCATCACCTCCCGCACCAAAACGCCAATCTAAATCTCAACAACAATAAAGGCAGCAGCAGCAGTAATAAGAGCGGAAGCACCAGCGGTAATCATCTGCAGCAGGCCTTGGGCGTCGCCGGAGGAAGGATGCCCATTAAGAATGCGATAGTAGATCCGGCAGCCACCACCTTGAGCACGGTAAACAAGATCCTAAGCACGGCTCAACAGCTACACATGTTTGATGACAAGCCAAAGGGTAAGTAAACGGGTTTAAAAACGTTCAAAATTATTCTAAACTAACCTCATCTTCTGCAGGTGGCCACTTTAATGCTGCACCCACACTACTCGAGCAGCAGCAGGAGAAGATGAGCGAGCGATCGCGGTGCTTGCAGCGGACTATTTCTTGTGACTCTCGGGTTATCGAGCGATTAGGCACAGGTGCCGCTGCGACTGCCTTGGAAAAAGTCACGACAGCAGCAACCAGGCGAGATAACGTCTAAATAGGTAAGAAAAAATATATCCAAACCGAAATGTAATTTCTAACCATATTTCCATTCACAGTAAAGCAAACTAAAAACCAATGACCAGAAAATCAGTCTTAAACCGAACGAATAATACATCAACAACGAAGGCCGCTAAACTGCAGATAGATTCCAATTTGCTATATTAGATAATAGCTTTCTTACACCAAATAACAAAAACTACCCGTTCTTTGATTTTAAACACTAAACTAAAAAGATAATTACAACGCGCATATAGTATGAGCTGCATACCTGTACGTTATGTCGATTGAGCTCAGGAGACGAAAAGCAAAGCCAATGCTATTAATGAATGTATATTAGAAAACGGGAAGGATTTTGCATAACAAACATGTGAAACCTGGAAGAAACGTTCTACTAAACTACTTAGTTATTTGATAGTATCGTTTTTGTCACAGCAAACAAACCGCTTAAATTACTTACAAACAAGAAACCTACAATATATATGCACGTGTACATGCTAAACACCTATAACATAATATATTATATAATATATAATTATATTAGGCAGTCAAAATTGAAGTTATTGAGATGTTATAAATCAATTTGGCTTGTTTAGTAATCGATTATGTATTTTTAGTTATTAAGTTCATTCAATCGTAGAGAAGTTTCTTTAAAACAATTGCAGAGGAGCAGAAAATAGATGGGGGTGTCCAACCCAACATAATATGATTTGTGTATCATTCGTTTAAATTCTGAATCACTTGTAATCGTAGAAATAAAAGAAACAATATATTTAACTCAGAAACTACAATATCTATCCAAATAAAATTAGCCAGACTTAAATGCAAGCAATATTAAAAAATCCATTACCTAGAGCAGACCTTGGCAAATAATATAAAGTAAGAACGTTATAAAGACCAAGAAAAAAGAATCCGGGACTAAAAACATTGTAAATAATCTTTTAAAATAACCAGATACAAACACAAGAAGGAAATAAAAAATACTTGTTATCTTATTAAGCAAGTGATGTAAGTTAAAAAGAGTACAAAGTGAGGGTTAATCTAATGAAATTAAGCTAAACGAAACGCGTTAAAATGTAAATAGAGGCAGCCACAGTAAGTTTGCAAAGCCATTTTCGTAATTAGGATTAATTTTTATTTTATCTTTTCCGAATTTTGTCTGAAATAATATATTCACAAAATATTTAGTAAATTATTTGCTTTGATAAAGTAAAATCAGTTTTATAACTTGTCATTAGGCTTAGAAGAAGTTTTATTCTGACCAATGCTCATAGAGGAATGTGTACGACAACTTTATCTCCCATGGTTACGTTTTTAAGACTTAACTTGGGTGGTTGTTTCGATACATTCCTTGTTGCAGCATTTTTCTGTTCTCACTGTAACATAAACATAATTTCATTACTTCCAAGTTATGCACACATACAAAAATTGGATTATTTTAAGATCTAATTAAAATAAAATAAAATAAACTTATTTCGACCCTGTGAAACCAATTTTTTGTCATAATCAATTCAGAAAGGATTTTTTACTGATAATATTCTAGACACAAAATTATGCATAAGTTGTAAAGGTGTTTACAAATCTGATTTTAAGGACTATGTGGGGAGTAGTATATGTACATATGAAATTTTATTTTTAACATTAATTATTTAAGAAAATTATGCAGGTGGTTATTGGCGAAGCGCTTTTTAGTTTAAATTTAACTTTTATTTTTGTAAATATGCATATGCCACATTAATAGCGTAATCAAATAAGTGTAAAATATTAACTGAAGTGTACTAAGACGATTTTATGAAACGTATGTTGTTAATTTTTTTTAGCGCTGTACAATACAAACAAGACCTATATTAAACATATTCATAGTTATCTGTAAAGCATAAACATGGATGAAGAGTTCGTAGTTTTCGTAATAAAGTTTTTGATAGTTATAGCATAAAAACAGAAATTATTTATAACTTATTTGAAAAAAAATACCTACTCGTAATAATTTTTACTCTAAACCTAGATTCTTTGTAAGCGCGAATTTGAATTGTAAGTCTAAGCATAATGGTTTTAGTCGTAAGTCTACCTTGGTTTAACTGATGTAAATTAAATACGTTAATTGTTTACTAAACACAAACACAAGTATGCCTCCTAAAGAAGTCGGCAAACAAGCTTCGTCTGTAAAATACATTACAAATGAATTCATAAGATTCTTTAACAATAAACAAAAAACCGAAAAACACAATAAAACGAAAATAAAATGAAATTAAAGAAAGTGGTTTTTATTCACACTCTGTCTGTCGGGGATGGATAGAGTTGGAGATGGAGGGGCGAAGGGCAGTGCGAGCGAGATTTGGACATCTGGGGAAAACTGCCTCTAGAAATTAAACGGCCGTGTGACTTGAACGCAACGCAACGCGCCCACGCACAATCGCCTTTAATGACATTATAATGTGTGTGGCGCCCACATCTTTAAAGATTTTGAAAAACTATAAATGCAATTTTGTTGTGTTTATTAAAACCTTTGGAAATGTAGAAAAAATTTTTCAAGTCAGACCATTTTTTAAGGGCCGGTTTCTCGAGTGCCGGCTAACATATCTCGAACAGATAAAGTCCCTGCTAAAGCATTTTGGCTTTCTCGAGCACCAATGTGAGAGCTAACTTTGACAGGGACTCGGAGTCCCTGTTAAAGCCTAGTACTCAGTACGACGAAAACTGCTAGCTAAGCATAGGAGTAAGCGAGAGGCAAATAGGTAGCTAAAGCCTTTAGCTGGGACTTTTTTCCACCGCGGTACTTGTTTTCACTCGGCAGTCAATAATATTGACTCAATATGACGGGGCTTTTACATTTTTAAATATATCATTCAGCCGAAGTCCCAAAAATAGGAAAACCGCGAGTTCTTCAGAAGAGGATGGGCCATTGATGTCATTTTAAGTTTGGATCCTATGTTTTATTGGGAACTTTTGAGGTGGATATCGGAAAACAGCGAATTCTTCAGAAGAGGATTGGCTATAAAAATTGTGATCCAATGTTGTTATGGGACAATTTAGAGATGGATATCAAAAAGCGCGAATTCTTGAAAAGGCCCAGAAAACGAAATTAAATTAAGCATAGCTTCAACTTTATTTCCTTTTAGAAGTCACAAAGCTACGTTCATTTAAAAAGGGCTGATATTTTCTATTTATTTAGAAAATGTTCAATTACCATTATTATTTTTACTGAAAAATAAGCATTAGAATTGAATTTTTCAAATGTAATGAAATATTTTTTCATTGGCATTATTCTTTTGAAAAGTAATGCAATGATATTTCATTGGCATTACTTTTTTTAAAGTAATGAATTCAAATTTCATTGGCATTACTTTATTAAAAGAAATTCATTATTAAGCATTACTTTTTTGAATTATAATGAAGCCCGATTTCATTAGCATTACTTTTTTTAATGATAATGAAATTACCAATTCATTACAAAAGTATTTCATTGGGCACAACTCTGGGAAAAGTCAACTGTGATTTCGTTTCTTCTTCATAGTTGGCTTTGGGAAATCAGCTGTCATTCTATCGAGCCGAAAACGCTTAACAGGGACTTCGAGTCCCTGTCAAAGTTAGCTCTCACATTTATGCTCGAGAAAGCCAAAATGCCTTAGCAGGGATCTCTATCGCCGCGATTTTTGTTTAAAAAAATTTTTGCCTGCGACTTTATAAATGATTTATATGTATTTTTTGTTAATAAATTTTATTTCCGTTGTATAATTTGCATTTTATTTTGTTTTCTAAGGGCCGGTTTCTCGAGTGCCGGCTAACATTTCTCGAACAGATAAAGTCCCTGCTAAGGCATTTTGGCTTTCTCGAGCATAAATGTGAGAGCTAACTTTGACAGGGACTCGGAGTCCCTGTTAAGCGTTTTCGGCTCGATAGAATGACAGCTGATTTCCCAAAGCCAACTATGAAGGAGAAACGAAATCACAGCTGACTTTTCCTTTGAAGTATACCCAAACAGCTGATGAAATAATCGAAGCACGCCATTTTTTGCCCTTCACAGCACAATTCTGTGCGTTAACAGCACTCTGTAATTGTTTCTCGATCAGATCACTATGGACGGCAGTCCATGTAGTGACGAAGCGCACCAGGAGAGTGTGCGAAGGCGACTACTATTATATAGCCGCAAAATTGAAAATCTGCTGTGATAGTCCGATCGTAATGAATAATACACCAATCGAAAGGTATTGCAAAAACTTAAAGGATTGCATACCAAGACTTTAAGAAAATCAATTGGCTTGGGAGAGAGAGCGGTGAAAGTGAAAAAGTGCAAGTTTCGAAATTTGGAGCTGTTGGGTGGGGATAATGCCCCCTCGCAATGCTTTAGTTGTATTCCTATTGAAAATACCCGTCGAATGAGGGGTCATATGATAAAATCTGACGCTCCGTTCAAAAGTTATAGCCAAAATAAGATTTTCTACGTCTTCCCAAAATGAAAATTAAATTCTGTTTGTCAGTTTGTCAGTTTGTCCAAAACATGTTTTTTAAGTTTTGAAAATTTGATATGACGTTCATCATATCGATATAAAAAACTTTTGTTCTACCACTTCTGGAAAAACTCGCTAGTTTAGCGGGAAAACAGCTATAAATAGCTAAAATCCGGAATACCGTAACTTCTATACTACTAAAGCACAGACTTGTGCCTTCTAAATTTATTCGTTCGGCACGCTACAACAGAAAACTTTTGTGTAGATATTACATATTTGCTAAAGCGGGCCGAACGAATAAATTTCAGGTGGCGTACTTATTTAGTCGCATCTAAAATCATTTTTCGTCACAAAAGTTGATATCAGAACTTTTGTACGTTGAAGGTGCGATCGTCACTAGTTTTTTACCTCGTTAAGAGGTGTTTTTATTTGATAAATTTAAGCAGTCGAGAAAGCCGATTTGTTTTTACGAACAGATTATCTGGTATTTAAGTTTTTCGAACAGATAGCTATCAGGGACTTTGACAGGGACTCGAGAAACCGGCCCTAAAACGTTCAACGGTACCTACCCAGCTAAGCTAA